TGAAAATATAAATTGATCATTTTTTTAACTTACGTTTAGCGTTTCTGGTAATTGATATAAAATAACGGTATCTCCGATAATACCGCCCCACATATTAATTTTCCACCTGTGCTGGAAACTTTGCACCCTTTCAAAATGTGGGTTTTCAATCGCATACTGATGCACATTATGGGGATTAAAACACCCCTCACGAGTGAAGGGTGATTCGTCAGTCCACAATACATGCCTCAGAAAGTTAGGGTCTTCACGGTGCATATTGAGAATTTGATTGCAAAACTGTCTTCTCATCTCGTAATCTCCAAGTTCCAGATGTTGTACCTTGGTAGCGTGGTAAGGATGTAGTGCGTTGTCCTTAGTTATGCGGTTAACTGTGCTGCGGGAGATCTCCAATCCACGTTCAAGTTGGCGAGTGCTAGTTCCAGGATCAGCTGCAATGGCCTCAAGAACGCGTTCTTCATTATGAAGGCTGCGAGCTGTTCGTGGTCGGCCAACGCGTTCAGCAGCACCCGGTAAAACGTTGCCATTCATATTAAAATCCTGAACCGCTCGGAGAATTGAAGCATGATTCGGAAACCGAACACGCACACCTTCAAATTGTATTCGATACTGGCGTGCAGCTTCCGCAGCATTGTGAGCATATTCGTAATAAATACGGACCATGTCTGCACGTTCGGCAACAGTATAAGCGCGAGGCATTTCAAAAAGTTGTTAAAGTTTTTTTTAACAAAAATGACATTACAATGTATGTCATATTCATCAGGGATAAAAATATCTCTAATTAAATAATAATGTAAAAATTAATTATTAATAAAGTAATTATTTTTACTTAATAAAAAGTAATAGTAAAGTAAAGTATATCACCATCAACCTTGTATTTACTTATTTAATAATTCGCAAGTTAAAAAAAATAACAAAAAGATGGACCCAGTTGTGGCCTGCGTCGAAAAACTCCAGTTGTTCGAGCTTCTTTCATTTTCACCTTCATACGGCTCTTCCACTTCATCAATACTTCTCTTAGCACTTGATGAATTCATGACTGCGAATGTATGCTTTGAATTTTATTGGTTAAATAAACGGCATTTGAGTAAAATATAATAAATAAATAAATAATATAAATATATATATATATAAAAAATATAAATGTATAATAGGTATATGGCATTTTATTGGTTCTAATGGGGAACATTCCTTGTCAATGGTGTTTGTGGGCTATGTTTATTACAAAGTTCTTTGGTTTATTATACTAAAGCAAATTATGTAGTTTTGTGTTGTATGCCGAAGCAAATATTGTGTATTCATACTTACTATCTGTTGTAAAAAAACAGCTTGGAGGTCCATAACTCTTGACCCAATTGGGTCGACTTGATCAAGTTGCCGTTATCCAAGAAAGTAATGAATGCCACTGGATTTTTGGAGGGCTCGCTGAATGGGATCCTGTTTAGCAAGTGATAAACAAAATTTCCTTTTGTAAGAAAGAGGTAATCCAACATTTCTCTTTTTCCTGCTTTGAGTCGAATAAATAGTTTGGAAACTTCCTTTACAGAAGCAAATGTGGGGAAACTTCGGGAAGTTCTGTAGGAAGCTCCCACCACATAATGGCAATGTAGTACAAAGTGCTCGAGAAAATTGGACCGGTTCATGACTGAAATTATTTCGTACGTGTGCACCACGTAGCGGTATTTTTCCCGGAGCAGACCTTGAACCTATAAATAAAACAAAAATTAGTTAAAAACCAACATACCCAATTCGTTATTAATTATAACTCACCTTAAGTACACTTACTTCTTCAAAATTTAACGATGTTCTGTACTGATACACAATATAAAGTAATTTATCAAGCAATTAAGCCTTCTAAATGCCAAGGAAGATTGTGGTTGTCGTGGTCCTTTTTGTTGATTTTCAATTTCCTCTAAAACTTCCACTTCCGCCGGGTGCGGACAATTCAATAAACAATTTATTTTCCGAATTTTTAAGTTGAATACTTCAATTTTTTCTTGATGCGTCAACGCTTCTTCTTCGCCGCCGCTGGATTCCTCCTCTTCCTCCTCGTCGCTGGAAATCCAGCCGACGTCGGACCCAGTTGTGGCCTGCGTCGAAAAACTCCAGTTGTTCGAGCTTCTTTCATTTTAACCTTCATACGGCTCTTCCACTTCATCAATACTTCTCTTAGCACTTGATGAATTCATGACTGCGAATGTATGCTTTGAATTTTATTGGTTAAATAAACGGCAATTGAGTAAAATATAATAAATAAATAAATAATATAAATATATACAGGGTGTCTCAAAAGTCAAGGACAGCAGAAAAGGGGGTAAATAGAGAATGGGATTCCAAGTCGAATGGAATTTGCCGTTTTTCGATCAGACGCACCATTAATTAGTTATTAATAAAATAAAGTAGCCAATCACAGGCGTGTTTTAGCAGACTGATTAGAGGTGGGAGGACTATAATGTGCAGCGTAATCTTAGAAATTCTGTATAAAATCGTTGTGTATAATTACCTTAATTATATGGTTGACACTGTCACTGTCAGTGTTTTAGATTTTGGGTTAGTTTTACCCAGAGAACCAAGGTTTTACTTTACTTTTACTCATTAACATGAATGTTTTTTATTGTTATGTTATATGTTAGCTACTTTAAATTTGTCGCTGACGAGGACGTCGTAGGCAGGTTGAATTTAATTGTTAAAGCAGCCTTCCATAGAAATAATACTAACCCAACCCAAGACTAGGAAAAAAAAATTTCTTTTATTTCCGTGATTTTTTTCAATTAATTTTTGTTTACATATTTTACTTTTATTTATATCGATTATTTCTTAAATAAACTTTTTTTTCAAATAATTTTTGTGTTTAAATATTTTACTTTTATTTATATCGATTATTTCTAAAATAAATTTTTTTATAAATATTTTTTATTAAGACGTGTACTAAATTTTCTTGTATTTTAAGCATTTAAATAATAATGACTAATATTTCTTCAATATTTAGTTCATTTAGCAAAAATATTCATTCAATATTTTCAATATATTTTTGTGTTATGTGGGTATGGCTCTCTGGGTAACTAAAGGCATTCTTTTTTTTTAGGGAAACTTGGTGGCCCTAAGAAGGGCCGTTTTTTAAATAGTCTTCGGTCCTTTATCTCATGAGATGCTTAAAGGTTCCTCCATTTCTCTGCAAGCACATTTCACAACGTTTAATGATATTCGTTCTGACGTTCTCCAGCATTTCTGGTGTTATGTCTGCTTGCGATAATCGAATCCGCTCCAGAGTGTCAAGCTGATCCTCGGGCACGGTTTTGTAAACGACGTCCTTCATGTATCCCCACAAGAAAAAATCCAGAGGTGTTAAGTCCGGTGATCTTGGGGGCCAACGAAACGGGCCGTTTCTCCCAAACCAGCGTCGTGGGTACTCAGCATTTAGGTGATCCCGGACACGACCGAAGTAATGAGCCGGTGCACCATCATGCTGGAAGTACTGAGGACGCTCTCCAACTTCTTCGAGCAACCCTGGAAGAACCTCTTGCAAAAATGCCAAGTACGAGTTTCCCTAATAAATAATCAAAAAATTGTATGATCAACTCATGAAAATATAAATTGATCATTTTTTTAACTTACGTTTAGCGTTTCTGGTAATTGATATAAAATAACGGTATCTCCGATAATACCGCCCCACATATTAATTTTCCACCTGTGCTGGAAACTTTGCACCCTTTCAAAATGTGGGTTTTCAATCGCATACTGATGCACATTATGGGGATTAAAACACCCCTCACGAGTGAAGGGTGATTCGTCAGTCCACAATACATGCCTCAGAAAGTTAGGGTCTTCACGGTGCATATTGAGAATTTGATTGCAAAACTGTCTTCTCATCTCGTAATCTCCAAGTTCCAGATGTTGTACCTTGGTAGCGTGGTAAGGATGTAGTGCGTTGTCCTTAGTTATGCGGTTAACTGTGCTGCGGGAGATCTCCAATCCACGTTCAAGTTGGCGAGTGCTAGTTCCAGGATCAGCTGCAATGGCCTCAAGAACGCGTTCTTCATTATGAAGGCTGCGAGCTGTTCGTGGTCGGCCAACGCGTTCAGCAGCACCCGGTAAAACGTTGCCATTCATATTAAAATCCTGAACCGCTCGGAGAATTGAAGCATGATTCGGAAACCGAACACGCACACCTTCAAATTGTATTCGATACTGGCGTGCAGCTTCCGCAGCATTGTGAGCATATTCGTAATAAATACGGACCATGTCTGCACGTTCGGCAACAGTATAAGCGCGAGGCATTTCAAAAAGTTGTTAAAGTTTTTTTTAACAAAAATGACATTACAATGTATGTCATATTCATCAGGGATAAAAATATCTCTAATTAAATAATAATGTAAAAATTAATTATTAATAAAGTAATTATTTTTACTTAATAAAAAGTAATAGTAAAGTAAAGTATATCACCATCAACCTTGTATTTACTTATTTAATAATTCGCAAGTTAAAAAAAATAACAAAAAGATAGATAGGTACCTATTTGTCCCACACAAAAAAATAAACATTTCTACTGAACCTAAAAAACCAAAACACTGACAGTGACAGTAAATAAATTAATTTAAGGTCATTTCACATATGACATGTTCATAGCTATGGAATTTTTACAAAAGTTTGTGTTGTCCCACCTCTAATCAGTCTGCTAAAACACGCCTGTGATTGGCTACTTTATTTTATTAATAACTAATTAATGGTGCGTCTGATCGAAAAACGGCAAATTCCATTCGACTTAGAATCCCATTCTCTATTTACCCCTTTTCTGCTGTCCTTGACTTTTGAGACACCCTGTATATATAAAAAATATAAATGTATAATAGGTATATGGCATTTTATTGGTTCTAATGGGGAACATTCCTTGTCAATGGTGTTTGTGGGCTATGTTTATTACAAAGTTCTTTGGTTTATTATACTAAAGCAAATTATGTAGTTTTGTGTTGTCTGCCGAAGCAAATATTGTGTATTCATACTTACTATCTGTTGTAAAAAAACAGCTTGGAGGTCCATAACTCTTGACCCAATTGGGTCGACTTGATCAAGTTGCCGTTATCCAAGAAAGTAATGAATGCCACTGGATTTTTGGAGGGCTCGCTGAATGGGATCCTGTTTAGCAAGTGATAAACAAAATTTCCTTTTGTAAGAAAGAGGTAATCCAACATTTCTCTTTTTCCTGCTTTGAGTCGAATAAATAGTTTGGAAACTTCCTTTACAGAAGCAAATGTTGGGAAACTTCGGGAAGTTCTGTAGGAAGCTCCCACCCCATAATGGCAATGTAGTACAAAGTGCTCGAGAAAATTGGACCGGTTCATAAATGAAATTATTTCGCACGTGTGCACCACGTAGCGGTATTTTTCCCGGAGCAGACCTTGAACCTATAAATAAAACAAAAATTAGTTAAAAACCAACATACCCAATTCGTTATTAATTATAACTCAAGTTAAGTACACTCACTTCTTCAAAATTTAACGATGTTCTGTACTAATACACAATATAAAGTAACAAGATTTCCAGGGGGCTTATTTTTAAAAATTCTTCTATTGTGTTCATGTCTTTTTCAACAAACTGCTGCTTAATTAAATTAACAAAATTTCTTTCCACCCGAATAAAAAAATTTAAAATATGTAACACAGGGTTTTTTTTAGCACTAATTGGCTTAAAACCTTTGCACCTCTTGCTGATCTCAAAAAATAGTTAAATTTTTTCTTAAAGGAAGATTGGGGCTTCCTGTTAATGTCCAGGATCTTCAGCAAGGCCGCCCACCCCAAAGACTCAAAAGAAACATGCGATCTTTCGCGGTCCGCCACTTGCTTGCAGTGGCGGATAAACACATCGCGCCGTTGCGGGTCCCCTTTACCTATGATTGATGCCATAAGGATAATGACTTTGTTCGCTTTGGCACTTCAAAAAATCATAACTCCTAAACGAAAAGAGATATAGAGTTGCGGTTTGGTTTCCGAGGTTAACTTTGGGTAATGGATTTGGACGAAAAAATTCATACCGACTAATTTTGGGGCGTATAAAAAGAATATTCATCCAGATTTGCCAAAAAAAAAATCCCCCTCCCCTGTACAGCCCCCTTAGCATTCCCAAATGCAGGGTGTCCGCAGCGGGCAGTTGGCCAAATAAATTGGTAAACATTTTTATATGTGCTTGTTGGCAAAAGAACGCTCTATAAAATGGTTCTATGCACGAATCGATCGCGCACGGTGTTTGGATTCTAGCGTCCCTCAAAGGGACCCCTTAGAAAAAATCTCTGTTTTCGAGGTTAACTTTGGGTCATGGATTTGGACGAAAAAATTCATACCGACTAATTTTGGGGCGTAGAAAAAGAATATCCAGCCAGATTTGCCAAAAAAAATCCCCCTCCCATGTACAGCCCCCCTTAGCATTCCCAAATGCAGGGTGTCCGCAGCGGGCAGTTGGCCAAATAAATTGGTAAACATTTTTATATGTGCTTGTTGGCAAAAGAACGCTCTATAAAATGGTTCTATGCACGAATCGATCGCGCACGGTGTTTGGATTCTAGCGTCCCTCAAAGTGACCCTATTTTGGCACTTCAAAAAATCATAACTCCTAAACGAAAAGAGATAGAAAACGTTTTTTAATAAATTTATTGGCGACTTTGGTCATTTTCGACTGAATTATAATTTTTTTTTTTATTTAATATTTGATAACTTTTTTGTGATGTGTGATAGCAAAATACACATTTGTAATATTTTTTTTTCAAAAATTTTTGCCAAGAATGAAATTAGAACCCGTACCATATATGGCACGCTAGTACTATAGGATGTCAAAAAAAGCAACTTCAAAAAAATCTTTATTCAAGTGAATTATTGTGATAACATTATTTTTTATTATGGAAATCAAAGAAACAATCTATACATAGGCCAACATTACATTTTTTACACTGCGTTCTCACAGCGCTGGCTATGGTATGATTCCCAGCACAACGTCTTCTTTTTCTATTTGGGACGTATTCAATAAAATGATCGGTTCTGTCGTGCCGGATGTCGTATGCCACTCTGCTATCCTCTGAATATGAAGAAGGTCGTCCAGATGATTTGGGTAGATTTTGGAACTTTTTTAAGTATATTTATTTCTCTTCTAAATGCCAATTGCGATATTTCAGGATGTGTAGTTTTATACACTATCCAAGCATTCTGGCCACACACATCTACAAGCCATGTGAATATTGACCACCACCATTTTTTTCCTCTAATGCCAATTCTGTAAACGTTTAGATTGGCGTCCATTTGATCGGTACCACCCATAAATTCGTTGTATTTTCTTATGCAATTGGGTCGCGGAATCGAAATTTTCTTTTTTTCGGTTGCGGAATACCGGCTAGCATTTGAAAGTGGAAAACTCCGTGAACTGTAGATGCTACAGTAACCACAGCATTGTCCATCCAACGCGTGACAACTACCTTTTTATCTGTCGTGGTAGCATACTCGAACGTACCACGTTTATTTTTTTTATAGACTGATTGAATGGGACAATTTTTGGGCAACCGGTTTTCTCTAAATGTTCCAGTTCCTTGGTATTCATTACTTTTTAAAAAAAAATAATAAATTCATTGAAGTGAAAAGGTTATCAAAATAAAAATGAAAAGGTAAAGTTATTATATTGCCTGGAAAACTGTTCACTAGCTGAAGTAAAGGTGCAGTTGCTTTTCCAAAAAGTTTTTGATGTTCTGCATTTGAATTTGGTATGTTACCTTGATAGATTTCCAAATTTATTAGGCACTAATTTTTTGAATTTATGCTCCAAACTTTATATCCAAACCGGATTGGTTTGCCACGGATGTACTGCTTGCATCCGTGGCGTCCAAAATATTCAATCATACTCTCAATCAATTTCTTTATCCGGTATGTAATTCTCAAAAATATTTTTTTTTTATTTTGTTTATAAGAGGTCGCAATTTGGTCATTTTATCGGCTGGGTCAAGCTTTAAATTATCTGTACAGTGCAAAAATTTTATAATTTCAATAAATCGGTCTCGTCTCATAGCATTATAAACTGCAGTGTTTCTCAAATCTTCACCCGAGTCCCAGTAACTTTTTTTCGAAGGCTTATTATCATAACCAGAAATAATTAAAATTGCTAAAAAGCACTTCATTTCTTCAAATGATATTTTTGTATCCGGACAATTCATAAAAAGAGCATATCCATTACTTTCCTCCACCAATAACTTTATGACTTCATAATTGACAAAAAGCTCAAAAACTTCAAGAGCTGACAAGCTTCTATATTTTGAAAAAACATTTTCGGGAAATACTTGAGGATTGTATTGCGGTAAATCATTGTCCTTTAGCCAAGTGAAGGTTTTTGGTCTAAAGCTTACATACGTACTGAGAGGAAGATCGTCTTCAGGCTCAAAGTGATCATCAGGAATTTTACATACCTCATTATCTGGTGGTGTAGCCGCGGTCTCATCAAAGGGATAATCACACCCAATTCGTTGACCTGATTGAAATACAACTTCAGCACCTGCCTGTAGCTGCCTACCGGATAAATTATCTAACAATCCCCCATCCTCATCTGCGGAATCCTCGTCAGTATCCCTTTTGATTTTCAGGAGGTGCAATGTATTTACGATCTATACTGTCAGTATCAAAATCTTCCCAAAAATCACTTGACTCAAATAGGTCAGCAATTTCTTGCACAGATAGTCTGAAAAGTAAAAAAATATATAGGTTTCCGTTTAAACGAAATATGTCTGAAATATTTCATATATATCTGGTTGTTATATTTCAAATTAAATATATGTGAAATATTTATGTTATATTTAATTTTAAATATTTCAAATAAAATATATCTGAAATATTTCGGGTTTATTTCGTCAATTTTATAATTAAATAATTATTTATAATTTTTAATAATTATAAAAATATTTTTAACTATTTTCAAATGCTTTTATAAAAGAAGTATATGCCATATACCTCTTTTATAAAAGCATTTGAAAATGGTTAAAAATATTTTTATAATTATTTAAATATAAAATTAAATTAAAATTTGATCTATATATAGATACAATTTTAATTTAATTTTATGGATAAAATTTTAATTTAATTTTAATTAATTAATTTTATAAGAATAGGATTTATTGAAATAATACATAGAATGTATAAAAATATTTATTTAAAAACACAAAATATACAATTATATAATTATATATACAATTATATAATTATGTACAAATATACAATTATACACAATTGTATGTATGAAGAATTGGAAACGTCGTAAAATACTGACCATCATTTTTGTAGGGCTAGGTGACTAAGCCACAAAATTTTATATTGGCCAAAAGTCCTAAAATTATAGTTACTATCATTTTAGGATAAAATATCCCAATATACTTATTTATTTATTTATAATATGTTGAAAAATGCTTTTCTCACAATTGAAACACAATGTTTTACGACCCTTTATTTTTTATTATAATTTGCAAATACCATATAAAATAACTCAAAATCATGTTTTACATTATAATTCGCTACCTACCACTATTTATCATAGAAAAATAATATACTTATTAATTTATTTATAATAATTGTTTATGTTGATTGTAATATTATTTTGACAGTTATTAAATTCTAGTTTAGGAGCTATTTTATTTTTAGTGCTAGAAATACTATTGACAGCATTTGAAGTCAAATTGTTTGGTGTGCAAGCATTGTTAATTATTGTATCGATATCACATACTTCTTTACTTCTTTTAATATTGTCTGAAGATAAGGCATTAGAATGGTTTTTTGTAAAAATTTGATCAGAAGTGGCTTCACTACTATTTTCAATTGAGTGTAGTATCTTGTCAGAAGTTTGACGTTTGTAGTTTATTGAATCATTTATGTATCCTTCAGCACATTTGTTAGATGCCCAACCTCCATGTCGTTTAAGTCCTAGCAAGTTTTCTCCGGCATCTACTAAAATGGTTGCAGAGGACCTTCTGAAACAATGCCCAGTATATTTTTCAGCTTCAGGTAGTCTGAGAAAAGTTGCAATTTGCATAGGCAGTGCACCCAGCTTATTGATGCCCACGATTTGTCGGGTGCACTTTCCATTTTGATAGTTAAGAAAAAAACGCCTATCAGGAAGATTTGCAGGACGTAGAGACATGTATCTTTTGCATAATTCATAAAATCCACCAGTTACAATAAATTTACGCACTGATTTAGTTTTAGTGTCGGGCAGTGTAATAAGAAATGCAGAATTTAAGTCTTCAAAATCTTCAACTTTCATTTTCCACAACTCATCTCGTCGACAAGCTCCACCAAGTCCAATGGCCATTGCAACCTAAAAAAATATATATTTAAAGGGATAAAAAACAGCAATCACACAATAAAATTACCTTTGTAAATAAGTAATT